CCCCCAAAACCTCTCTCCCCCATCCAAACCATGACGAGCACAGCATGAAACACAGGTCCGTAACTCCTGCTTCGCAAAGCAGCTGGGAAGAAGAGTCTCAAAATAGCTCTCTCTTTGACAAAAAAAGATAGAAGTAATTAAACTCAGGGTCCCCAAGGAACTTAAATCATGGAGTGTGGAAACTGATTTAAGTCATCAACCGTGAACTGAAGAGGCCGTAAATAATTCTGGTTATACTAAAGAAATAACAGTTGTAAGCCTGAATATTTAAGCTCACTTGGTAGCAGAGACGCTTCCCACTGTTACAATTCCTATTTCCACTGTTATGTTATAGAAACTGAGGCCCTGATAGCTACAAATTGCAGGAGAGCATAGCAGAGGCAAGTTGTTCTAAAACAGCATCCGACAAGTGTGATTTTGGTTTCATGAAAAAAATAGTTTTTCCCCACTTTTTTTTATTCCCAAAGCACATAAAAGAGCTACAGCATACAACCTATGAACCCAAAGATTACTTCTGTAAATACTTCAGGTGCCAAAGTTACTTTCAAAAACGTACAAAAAGTTTCAAAAACTTTTTAAATTTGAAGAGCCACAAGCCAAAGGTAATTAAATAAAGCAAGAATAAAAGAAAAGAAATATATTGCTTAGGAAGAGGATCAAAAGTCTGGCGACTACACTGAAGTTTTCACTAGCTGCGTCCTCATTTTAATAACATTAAACGTTCTCGTTTAGTCGGTCTAGGGGCAGCTTCCTCCATACGCCAGCACTGCAGCAGACTTCGGAAGGAATAATCTTGTTTACCAGAACCTCATCTCCTCCCCCGTAGGAGCTAACAGTTTTTGTGACATGGGCACTTGCTCAAAAATGCTGATTAAGATCTGCAAGCTCATTTTGTTTTCCAAAGAAACGCTGGAGCAGCACATAAGCCCCCTGTGTTGCTGAGCCGGGTTTCCCGTGAAGCCACCCTACCTCTTCTCATAATGTGCACAAAACCAACCCCCCCGCAAATGGCTTTCTATGTCATTTAAAAACACCCAGGCACATGTGCATGTTTTGCATTAATGGTGCGTTTTTAACTACACAAAACGGTCGATGACAAACGACCGAGTCCCCCACGCGTACCGAGAGCGTAATGTACGTATTTAACTACTTGGTGAGCAAGCGAAGGCTCCGAACACCCTTGGTTACCAACGGGCTTGGCTGCAGACAACAGCATTAAAGGGCAACATAGAGAGGTAATCATGGAAGTATTCGCCATGTTAGCCAAAGAGCTGCCTCTTAACGCTGCTTCCAGCCTTTTCTCAACTGCAAGGAAGTGACTGTTTGAAACATTCCTGGAAAAGTTCAACCAACTCCAAACACGTTAAGCCCCATGCTGAAAGCAGAGGAACAGAAAACCAAGTTCAAAAAGAAATAATCTTTCACCAGTTCTTGCTTCACCCTCACCTACCCCCCCAAAAACACAGGGATGGCTGTGCTGAAGTAGCATTAGACTAAAATCAACTTCCTAGTCTACGCCCCTCTTGCTTCACCATGCTTTTGTTCACGCTGTCACCGCTACTAACCTACTACTCACCCTTCCCAAAAGGATATTTGCCTTTGAACCAACCTGTTTCTGTATCCCTGTTGCTGCAGCTGTGTGTACTAGCCTGTTTCCGTCAAAACAGTAAGTCAAATAAGTCAAATCTGTAACCTTAACAACGGCCAAGAAACTATTAGACAGGAAAATCTCATTTCTTGTCCACCTGCCGCAGCTCGTTAACGTGTTTGCTCTGTCTTCACGGGGAGTTCCGCTGTATAGCGCAAGACAAAGAAAAAGGCAAAGAAACAAAATTCTTACTACACAAGATCAGCGCTGTTTTGGCTGACAGTGTGGAGGCTCCTCCTTGTGCCTACAAGCAGCTCCCATTTGGTGAGGTTTCTGCATAAACAGAACTGGAATCCAGCACGCTAACAGGTTCAGTTTTTTAATTAGTAGTAGTAGGGACTCTGTACGGACAGCACGTCAAAACATCCAGATGATTAACTGTCCAGGGACATTATTTTTGGAATTTCTCAACCTGCATTTGGCTTTTGTTTCCCACGCGGTGTGAAGTTCTTGCTGCGTGCGTACGCACACATATTTTTGTGCCCTTTTTTCAGTTACGGTTAGTTCATCTGACGTTCTTGAATCGAGGGAAACCTTGAGCTAAAATAAAAAGTTGGTCCAATGTGGTCTTTAAAAAAGCACAACCCTTGCAAGATCTCAACAGTGAAACACGCAGTTTGGAAACCTCGCACCTGCAGCTTTAGGACATTAAGCTGAAGACTGGCTTGAGGAAAACAAACGCTATGCGATGTTATTTACGGTAATTCAGCACCGACTTCCATGGCGAGGCACAAAAATACATGCACCCTTCAAATACTTATCTGCGGCAACTCCCTAACTTCCAGAAAGCGTAATTTAAATACATATTAAGAGTAGCCTGTTTGGTGTAGATACTGCTAGCACAAATAAAAATCTCTATTAAATAACTTGCAGAGCTCCTCCACATCTGCAAAGAATATTAACTAATCCACATCACTGAAACTGGGGGGGGGGGGGAATTTT